ACTGCTGCTTCTTGGGTGGGTGCAAGAGGAGGGGCCAGAAATCTGGGCTGATGGGGGGCATTGTGCTCCAGCTGCTGTCATCTGGGAGACTCGATGCTGAATGTCCCAGGTGGAGGCCACCCTTTCCCAGTGCACTTTTCCTCCACCCTCGTGGCTGTGCTCAGAGTAGGGATCGAAGTGCCCACATTAATCGCTGGCTCTAATCATTCCCGTTTCCATTTGGCTGATTTGCATTTCCGTGAGAGGAAGATGCCCTGATTAATATCCCCTCAGAAGAGCTTTATTGCAATGGCTCCTGCCTCTCTAATTGGAAAGTGGTCTTAACCTTTCATGCAAGTGGCTGGGATGTTCCCTGCCTGCCAACACCCTGGGAAGGGTCTTGTCGTCCTGAGCCTCTGGGCAGTGGGAGGCTTGCACCAAAAGCAAGGCAGAGCCCCTCTGCCCAAGGAGGATGCTCAGGAGAAGGAGCCCGCCTGTAGACAGCAGTTGGATCAATGGAACCTGCAAAAGGGGTCCAGTGCTGGGATGATCCCTAACCAGTGAGCACCCAGCCAGCCGTGAGCAAGCAGCTTGGTGTTTCTGAGCTCACATCTGTGTGCTAATTAACAACCCATGAGAAGTGTGTTCCTGTGATGTTGGTGGAGCCGTTCCTGTTCAGTGTGCAGCACAGAGGCAGGATCCGACCCCACAGCTGGGATCCTGCAGTTTGCTCTCCCCAGGGAGTCCCAGGCCCACCACTAACCAGCTTGAAAGCCTGCCTCGCACTTAGCTGCTTTCTGATCTTCAAAGGCTCTGGATGCCCAAGGAAATCAGACCTTGTGGCTTTTCTTCCAGTGCAGTCCCCAGATCTGGACTCTCGTGCAATTCATTATCCTGCACTGTGCAGGGGGAGCGGGCACTGCTCTGTGGCTCTTCCTTGGGTGCCAGTCACTCTCCTTGCTCACCACGCTGATGTGCTGAAGGCAAGGTGTCCAGATGAGCACAGCCAACTTTGTCCCTCCCTGCTGGCTTCCTAGCACTCTGTAGAGTGGCTTTGTTAAGACCCCAACCTGCCTCCCAGATGCTTTTACCTCCCTTTACTCCCTTTTACCTCCTTTATTCTCTCCTTCTGAGGCTACGGAAGTGATTTATTATTATTATTTATTTTTAATTTTGGTATTTAAACTGCTTTAGTGGCTGCAGCAATGAGTGTTCCTGATAAACAGCCTGGGAGATCCAGGGAATTATCTCTGCTTGGTGACAGCAGAGGCACCTATTGCAACTGCTGGCAGCACACAAAGAGCTGCCCTCATCTCTGCATGTTCCACAGCCTGGAGAGGGAGAAGATTTACCTCTGTCCTTAATCACCAAATCTGAAATCCCAGACCTGTTATTCCTCAAATTTTTGGGGCTGGTTTAAGCATCTAAGGGTAAGGGCAATCATTCCCATCCCCATCCAACACTTTGCATATTCCCATCTGTGGGATCATAGGATGATCTGAGGCCAAGGAGGTGCTTTTTTATGGTGAATGATTTGATTAGAAGTTGGTCCCAAACCTTTATGTGCATCGGCTGCTTCCCCTCTGCTGTGGGGGGAGCTTTGTGCAGGGCTTTGCCATGTGGGTAGGGGAGAAATAGGCAGCTCTTGGGTGGAGAGCCGGTGCTGCAGAAAGGACCTGGAGTGAGCTGGTGAGCAGCAGCTCGTCTCCTTTCACCAGGGACTTGTATGTAGAATAGAATTATTGAGGTTAGAAAAGACCTCTGAGGTCTCCACCCCACTATGCCCTCAGTGCCACATCTCTGTGGGTCTGGGACACCTCTAGGGATGGTGACTCAGTCTCTCCCTGGGCAGCTGTACCAGTGCAGCACTGCTCCTTCTGAGAAGAAATATTCCTAATAGCCAGCCTGAACCTCTCCTGGCACAAGCTAAGGCCGTTACCTCTTGTCCTGTTGCTATGCTGTTGGCATGGGCTGTGCTCTGAAGGTTTGTGTAGCACTGTCCTGAATGGTATGAGTGTCGGTGCAGGGCAGCTCCCCATAAGGTGTCAGGGAAATACAGTAAAAAGTGCAGATGGAAGGATTTGGGAACACAGGGAAGAGACAGAGATGGTTTGCTGTTACCTCAAATACACATCAATGAGAAAAACATTCACCTTGTCCTCCTGATCCAGACCAGGTCAAGTAGAGAAGCTGGGTTCGTGCTATAGGAGAAATCAGCAAGGTTCACTCGCCCTTACACAGGTGGTAGAGGCTGGTGCTGGAGTAGCTGGAGATTCCAATGGGAGAGATGGCATAAAATCAAAATCCCAGGAAGTGACTTCCACACTGCACCCCATGGGATGCTGATGGGAATGGCACTGCCTGAAGCACAGCTGCCATGGTCCAGCCCTGCTCAGGGCCTTGGAACTCACAGAAACTTTCCACTGAATTCAGAGTATCTGTAAAACTCCTTCTATGGATCAGAGGGAGGAAAGGGGCTGCAGCTTCAGATAGGTCTGCTCTCGAGCAGAGAGTGTTTAACATAACACACCTCCTGTTTCTGAGCAAAAATGCTCAGGCACTGACTACCAACGTGAGCAGCATTGCTCAAGCAAATGGTGTTTACACCCCGAAGCCTTCAGACTTTCTAGATTTCACCTGCTTCTCTGCAGAAACCCCTTGAGAAAACGCTACCAAACAAGGCAGTGCTGGGCTGGATAAATTGCCTGTAACAAATGAGCTGGAATTCATACGAGCCCATTCCTCATGTAAGAAAGGTGTCGCTCTGCAGTACCTGGGGGAAGTGCCCATCTCGCAGAGCACGACCCGGCTCTGTCCATAGCTGCTGGCCCTGCTTGGGGCTGAACACCGTGGCAGCAAACATGCGGCGCACACGGCTTGCGCTGTCTCTTCTCAGGTGGGAACTGTAAACAGCAGCAAAGCAAGTTTTGTGCTTTTTCTCCTTTTGTGGAGGGAAAGGAGGTTTTGCAAGTGTTTCGGCATCAGCTGCAGAAACGGGATGTTGAGAGGGAGGGTTGGGACTGGGTGCTGCTGCAGGAGTCGACTGCAGTGCCGGAGGGGCTTGGGGACGTGTGCCCTCCAGTTGTCATTGCTTGTCCCTCTCATCCTGCAGCTATTTCTGCCCCAACTTTCCAACAAACTGCTTTCAGTCTCAAACCATGATGGTATAGAGAGCCAGTTTCATCCCCCTTTCAGTGTGCTATTTGCATATATTTGCATAGCACACAGGTTTCTGGGAGGGGAGGAGGAGCTGGAGAGGCACATCCTTTATTCCTTTTTTTTCATCCCCTCTCAGCAGAATTGCATTTATTTATTTCAATCCAGGGCTGTTGCTAAGAGGGGCTCCTGGCCAGGTCCCGGGGCTGGGGCTGCAGGAAAAGGCAGGGACAGGTTCCCTGGTTTTGGGTAATTCAGAGCTGTGGACAAAGGTATCATTCAGGCACACCCAGACTCTGTCCTGGCACTCTGCAAATTCGCTCGGCCCCATTTCCAAAAGCTGCCATGCCACCCCCCAGCACTGCAGAAACCAAGAGACTCCCAGTGCCAGCCCAGCCCTGCAGGGTCAGAGACGAGTGATGGGCTGGGGGAATTGCCTTCTCAGGTCTGTATTTTTCCAGTTTCCCAGCCAAAATGAAAATGCAAACTCTGGGCAGGCGGAGCTCCTGGTTTTTGGCAATGAGTTCTCCCTTTCAGGGATGCTCTGAAAGCAGAATGCTTCTGAGATGCACGCCGGGTGTAGACTTGCTGGAATTGCTGCTTGCTGTGGGCGATCACACAGGTCCTGCTGCTCAGCTGCCTTCCCATGAGCTCCTCCATCAGGCTCTGCTCCTGACTAATAGCTGCTGGCCCAGGCACCTCACCCCAATTCTCGCAGTGGGATGAAAGGGAAAGAAACCTCTCGTTCTCCTGAAGTTTTGCTGGCTTTCCTTTCCCCAGGGCTTTGCTGGGTTTGTGCTCCGTCTGCTCCCTGTCTGGGTTTAGTTGCCTTCCTTGGTCCTCATGCAGTGTTCCTTCCCATGGGATTTGCCACTTTCCCTGGGAAACATCAGATCTCTGGGATAGGTTTTACCAACCCCAGCAATGGGTCTTGCTCTTTGTTGCCCTTCATCTCCCTCCCATTTAGCCACGCTGGTGCCTCAGTTCCCTGCTTCTCCAGAAGAGAATAGGAAATGTGTGTGGGGTTTACCTTACAGACCACAGGTCCTGATCTCAGCTGCAGCAATGGGAACCCCTTTAGGGATCTTCTCTGCTATGTTATTTTTGCTGTAAGAGGGATAAAGTGAAGGCAGCTCCTGGCCGCTCTAGTGAGTGGAAGCACAAAACAGCAGGAGAGCACTCCTCTGGGTGTTGCCCCACCACCCCTGGACCATGCAGCTCAGGGCTGCCTCGCCTGTGTTTCTTCCTCCCCTGGAGCAAGATGAATCGGAGAGTGTGCGCATGGATGGGGATGGCGACAGAGGTGGTGGGACCAGAGAGCAGCCAGGGCCCCGGGCTGCAGCAGCCGCCTGCAGCACCTCGCGCCTGGCTGGGTTTTAATTTTTTATGCTAACTCCTGTTTGCAGCAAACATGGTGTTGTGGTTCCTGGTATTCAGGAGCACGGAGGCGAGCGAGTGAGCTGCAGGCTGTGCTGAAAGCTGGCTGCTGCCGAGCAAGGCAGGCGGCGGGTTGGCTGGGGCTGGCTCGGCGTGGCCGTACCACGACAGGCTGTGCCGTTCCCCATGGGCTGCAGGGGTTGCAGGTCTGGGTGCTGGAAACCATCTCCTGGGAGACCTGAACTCTGGTTACCCAAACCCTGGGGATCGCTGCGTGGGGATGGGGTTCAGCATGGATGCAGAATGCTCTTTGCTCCCGTGCCCTCTTGCTCACAGAGCTTTTTCCCAGCCCTGCAGCTCGGGGGCTGTTTGTCTTCAGCTTGACCGTTCCTCCGCCTCCCCCGCCTGTCTCCTCCACTTCCTCATTCTCGATGTCGGGTTGAGCAAGAGCAGATCGGAGCCTCCTCGGGATCAGGGTGAGGCTGGGGGGCCTTCAGTTCCAAGTTCCTTTTAGATTTTTTTTCTCCCCTCCTTCTCTGCTCTGCGCACAAAGCCGGGCTATGATGAAACTCCAGCTCTGCCTTGCTTGCAGCATTCACGCACGGCACATGCTGGAAATAATTGTCCTTGGTGGAGCTCTGCAAGCTGCAGAGCGATTTAACCAAAAAGAGATGGAAAGCAGTTTTATTTCTGCACTCTGCCTTTCAGTCTAGAGGCAGCCCCCGGCTACAGGGTGGCTCAGGGCAGGCTGGAGCTCGGGCTGTCCACATCTGGAAGCCGTGTGACCGCAGTGCATAGCACCAAGGCCGGGTTCGTGTCTCTTGCTGTTCAGCAGTGCTTATTGCGTTGGGCTTGATGTGGCTTTGATGTGCTCAAGCAGGGCAAGCTGTGGCTGCCTGCAGTGCACTGCTATGGGCATGCTACGAACCTTCTGTAAAATGCGTGTTGGTTTTGCCAAGTTTGGGGTCAGATGCTGCAAGGGGAACTTGGGTAGGTGCTTAGGTAGCTAAGAATGCCCTGTCCTTGAGCTTGTCTGATGAGCAGAAGGGAGTGTGGTAAGCCAGAGGAGGATGTCTGCTATGGGGCCAGGAGTTGTGAGAAGGATTTTGTCAGAGCAGCCTTAAGGAAGGGGCCTGTGCCTAATGTGGAAAGGCAGGGTAAGGATGGGCCACCACAGCATCTCAGCACAGTTCTGGATACACCCAACGCAGAGCCCTCCACGGGGTCAGGAGCAGCCCTGAGCTCCTCTGTGGGACAGGCACTGCCTGCAGTGCACGTGTGCAGCACCAGGCACAGCTCACTCCTCCCTGCTGTGCCCCATGGCCACCCCAGGTTCTCCTCCTCTTCCCCTCATTCTCCTATTCGCACAGCAGCATTGCAGAGCTTGTCCAGCTTTTTCCATGTTGTGGTCTATCCTTCCACAAAAATACTTTGTTTTGTACACAATTCCTTTCCTTTCCAAATAGCCAACCTGTTCTCCTGTGGTTCTCCATAGATTTCTGCTCTCCATCACCAGGGATCTCTTCTTGGCTATCTCAGCTGGCTCAGTTCTATGTGGTTGGTCAAGGTCAGATGGGACTGCTTTCTGACCTGACTGGAGATGAGCCCAAATCCTTTTGCTGCAGAAACTCAGTGCTGGTGGCACAACCATCCAGCCTTGGATGCGCTCTTTTGGTTTCATCAACTTTTGCTTTCCAGTGGGTAAGAGGAGAAAAAGTACCTGCAACCTCTAAACTTGTTTTCTCCCACGTCAGAAGAATGTGAGCTCGTGTGTGTTCCTTGGGGCTGTGCGCAGAGGCTCGTGCATTATTTACGGCATCACAGAGATGAGGCCAGACCTGACCCTGCTCTCACTGGGCTGTGGTCATCAGCAATGGGAGTGAACCCATCATGGTGACACAGTGACAGTCACTGGAGGCAGGCTCAGGTTTCTGCCTGAGTCACTTTTGGGGCCCAGTAACAGCATGTGGCTGAGGGGTTTGGGGTTCAGCCCCCCCAGCTGCCGGGCTCAGGGTGCTCAAGCCAGGCTCCTCATCATTGGGACTGGCCAACCCTTCATGGTTTCTCAGCAGCAGAGCCAAATTCTTGACTTCGGTCCCTTCTTTTGGGGACTGGGAGGAAATGGAGCAGGGGAGAGGAGGATGCACTGTGTTTGAGCCCCGATTCGCATCCACCACCCCCTCACCCACACCCCCAGCCTGCCCCCCTCTGTTCTCACCAGAAGGGCTGCGAGGAGAGTGGGGGTCCCTGCGTAACGCAACCCCCCAAATCTCGCATCTCCTAAAAGCCCATTCTCCCCGGCTGCTTTTTATTGCTAACCTCCACTTGCTTTGCCTCTCCTCCCCTCCCTCCCTTCCCTCCATCTCCCTCCCTCCCTCTCTCTGGGGGGAAAAAAGGTCATTGCGCAAATGATTAGTCAGAGCTCAGTTGCTGTAGCAACCGGCTGCTGGAACTGGGACAGGCGTGCAGCGAGGACAACGGAGAGGTCGACCATCAGCGAGGGCTGGGGAGCCCAGCCTTTGTATTTGCTTTCAAGAGCCGGGGAGCGAGGCGGTGCGAAGCCCCCTGCCCCACGCCACGCACGGGGCTGCTTCCCCGCATCGGCCCCGAGCTGCTTGGCTGCGGTTTTCACCCAGCTGGCGCTGCTCGCCTGCTCGGAGCCGCTGTTCCGATGCCACCGCCGTACCGTCCCTCGTGGCCGTGCCGCTGCTCGGGGCGGCTTCCTCCCCCCGGCTGTGGGTTCAGGGCTCAGTGTCCTCTTGCGACATCCTGCATGGGAAACACAAAGCCGAGTTCCTCCTCATCCGGCACGAGGAACCGGGCGTTCACCGCACCCTGCTTCTTCCCGGTTCCGGACTGCTATGGTGTGTTTGCTTTTGACCCCCGAGCAGCTGCAAGCAGAGACATCTCCAAATTCTTCTCCTGCCCCAAACTCCAGGACAGCAGCTCTTACTTGCAATGCCCAGGGGATGCTTGGTTTTGGTGGATGGGGCGAAGGCTCTCCTGGGGAGGTTCAGCCCATGTGCGCAGTGATTTTCACCATAGAATCAATGAGGTTGGAAAAGACTTCTCAGTTCCCCAACCCCAACCCACCCCACAGTGGGGCCGTGCTTAGTGCTTGGGGCTCATGGGGAAAATACAAAGGAGGAGCCAGGTGTAGCAGCAGCCAGAAGCAGACAGAAGTACTGCTGGGGAGTGGATGGGACACCTCAACAGAGGCACTTTTGGTGGAGTTGCATGGGCTTTGAATGGGATTTCAGGGATGTCTTTGGTCTCCTGCTCGAGGTTTCCCTGAAGCCTCAGTCTTCTGGTTGCATAGGGATTGCTTGTTTAAGGGTCCTCTCCTTAGGTTGGCAGAGGGAGACATAAAGGTGTCCTAAAGGCTTGGGAGCCAACAGGGAAATAAAAACAAGCCAACTGTTCTTTCATTTTCTCTTGCAAATTTCATTATTTTAAAGGCTGTTCCCCTGATTTTTTTTCCAGAGTCTGGAAATCTTTAGGAGATCTGAATGCTTGGAGTTGACCACACTCTTTCTGTGTGTTTTCAACCTTCAATGCTAGCACTATGTTTTCCTTTGGAGATGCTAAATAAAATGTGCAGCTCCAGTCCAGCTGACTAATATTTCAGGTTATCAAAAATGACAACGAAGGAAGGAAAGACCTCCAGGAGGGGGACAAAAATCCATGTGAGTCACTCAGATAATCTGAGCCTGAAACCACAAAATAGCGTTGCCCCATTGCAATGGGGTGGGAGACCATCACCATCCTTTGGGCTGTGGGGCTGCCTGATGCCCAGGTCATCACCACTGCTTATCTCTACAGCTCCCTCCTTGCTCCCAGAGGACCCCCCAGGTATAGACAGGTGACTGAAGGCAGCAACCCTGCGCTGAGCATCCATGAGCCAAAAGAGGAGGTTTGGAAATTTTGGCTGATGCTTCTTGGTGCCATTGGCAGATGGAAGGGTTTAAGAGGATAGGATGCCAGCAGCCTGAGGCTGTACCTCTGCGTTGATGGTACCTCTTCCACCATCTCAGCTGGCATCTGGAACTGATTGCTGCCATTTCAGTGCCTGCTTGGTGAAAAGGACTGCTTGGTTTCTGGTGCCAAGCCTCTCCTCTGCTGGTGCTCCCATCCCAATCCATATTGGTAGTGCTGGTGCTTCCTGGGTGGTTGGGATGCACTGTGAGGCTGGGAGGGAGCTCTGAGGTCTTTTTTTCCTACAAATAACATATGAGAGACTTCAAATGGGCGGTGCTATCTGTGATGGTTTGGGAGCACGTGTGTGACTGTGTGACAGCTCGCTACTTGGAAGGGGCAGAGCCAGGGATGTCCTGTCCAGGTGGGATGGGATGCCCAGCTGATGTGTCTGATGTGGGCAGGGGGTGATGGTGCTCAACCTCTGAGGAAATCCGCCACCAAACTAACACAGAGCTCTACCCTGTGTGAGTAGTTCAGTGCATTTAAAAGCTTCTGTCTGTTCAGTTCCTCTTGTTGGCAAAAGAGAAACCCGCCAGAGAGCAGCCAAGGGAGCACCTGATGCGGCTGGGTGCCAATGGTGGAAGGCCTGACTGCCTTTTGGCCATCCCAGTGCTTCTGTTTGGCCCTCCTGACACGAGCCCCAAAAGCACAGAGGCAATTGGCTCATGGTGATGTGAGAGACAGCCCCGACACGACCCTGTGGCAGTAGTAAGGAACAGAACGTCCACGTGGAACCGAGCCCCAACCCGGCACGTGGGGGGATGACGCAGCGAAGGTGAAATATCAAAGGGAGAAGGGAAGTGCATGGCAGGAGCAGGGGAAGTGGAGGAGAGAATAGCCGGAGCTGACCTCAGCGGGGCGGGAGCGGGGTGGGAGCCCGGCCACAGGCATGGAAGGGAAGTGGGAAAAGGATACAGCTGGGACCGGCTGCAGCCGCCCGCCATCCCCGTCCGGTCCCTGCGCACCGGCACCCATTGCTCTGCCCTGATCCTTCTTCCTTCTTACCTAAGGGCACAGCGTATCCAACCCTGGCTCCCCACACCTTGGCTTTTCTGAAGGCAGCACAGAGCAGGATGCAGCTGAACCTTCCCCTGCCAGCAGCCATTGCCAGCAGCATCACGGCAATGGGGGCTGCCTGGTGAGGGGCACGGGCTGTCCTGGCGCTGCTGCTGTCCCTGGGATGCTGTTTGTGCCTCAGGACAGCTGACATGTTGTATTTTTTTGTGTGTGTGGAGTTTTAATTTTAGCTAGGAAAAAAAAAACCAACCCCCCAAAACGCACCCTGCCTTTAAACATGAGTGCACACAAAGTTTTCAGGAACAGCTCTCCACGGAATGGAATTCTTCTCTTCCTCACGAAACTGCCTGGTTCTAAATGAAAGGCTACTCAGGTTCTTCTGCTTTTCCCCCTCAATCTTCAGTGAAAGTTTTTCCTTCCCGGGTTGTCCTGCTTTCCTCCCAGAGATAGATTTGCTCTTTCAGTAGCAGCAAATATAGGGAATGTGGGTTGTTTTTTTTTTTTTCTGGAATGTTGGGCTTTTTTGGAAAAAAGAAAAAAGTGAAAGCTGTCCTAGAAGAACTCACCAAAATGTCCTCTTTGAACCCATTAGAATGGAATGGAATTGATAAGGTCAAGCGTTTCCCCCTTTTCCAAACCAGTTCTCATCTGTTTTAAGCTGTTGGTGTGGAAGCATTGGTACAGTGAAGTGCAAGAGGTGACTCTTACTCTTTCTTAACCCAACGGGAGAAGACTTCCATCCCACCTGAGTCTTCCTTAGGGGCTGGTGAGGAGCCCTGAGAGCTGGTGATGCTATTGCCACCCAAAAGCCAGCATCAGAAGGGCTCCGTGCTGCTGCCCTCTCCCCTCTCTGCTGGAGGGATGCTCAGAAACCATTGGGGTTGGGGTGGATGCCCAGACTTGGGAGCAGCACAGCAGAATCCTTGGGTTTCGGGGCCCTTTTGTGGCTCTCCTGCATGCTTCTTGGTGTCCTTGGGGAGAAAACGTGTCACTCTTTGTGCTGGGGTAAGGGTTTTGTTGTTGTTGTTTTTTTTGCTTCAGACACGCGATGAGTGTGTTACTCAGGCATGACTCGAGAACTTGTGAGCAATAAAGTCATCCTGAAGTCTGCCAAAAAAAATCTTTTTAGCACACCCACCTCATCACACGTTCCCACTGTAGCTACTTCAGCATGATCTGCTGCTGAAACCCGGCTACCTCCAGGGAAGGCTGTGGTAGCCATCTGGGAGCTCTCAGCAGTGGCACATGGGTGAACCCAAGCATGTCGGCACAGCACTACGCAGTGTCACCTGGCTGGGGAATGGGGCTGTTTGCCAAAGGGATCATTAATATGGTGGGCTGGGGTTCTGCTCCAAAATCCAAGAGAAAACTGGGCTGGAAGGATGTGGAGACGTTGTGTAGCTTTGGAGTAGTGTTCCTCCTACAGCCTAGTCTGTGTCCCACATTTGGGTTGTGTGCTCTCCCAGGTAACAGTGGTAGGATGAGAGGTGATGGCCTCAAGTTGCACCAGAAGGTTCAGGTTGGGTAGTAAAAAACATTACTTGTCTGAAAGAGCGGTGCTGCAGTGGCAGAGCTGCCCAGAAGTGCTGGGGTCACCGTCCTGGAGGCGTCCCAGAGCTGTGGGGATGTGGCTCTGAGGGATGTAGCAGTGGGCACAGTGGGGTGGGCTGGGGTTGGACTTGGGGATCTGAGAGGTTTTTGCCAACCTTACTGATTCTGTGATTCTCACCTTTTGGGGTAAAGACCAGCCTAAAATCCCATAAGGTGAAGAGCTGTGCAACTTCCATATTGCGGCAAGACCTGCGGGGAAGAGACCTTTAGGGGAAGCTTATTGGCAGGAGCACTCACAGGGCCTCAGGTCCGTTGCACAGCCCCACCACGGCCTCGGCTCCACATCCCTGCACTGGCCACCACTGCCATTATGGGATGGCCATCAGTGGCTCTGTGCATTCCCTGGGAAGGGAGGTGGCTTGGAGGTATGTGCAGGCTGCCCCAAAGCAGGTGAGTGCTGCTGGCACTGCAGCTTGATGCCAAAATTCCCCTTGCTGAGGGCTGCGTGGAGGCCAGGTCTACCCTGTAAGAGCCATCATTACACACCAGGTCTGGTTCCTTCAGGACTGGGATTTTCCTGGGGTGGGATGACAAGATTCCATTGCTCATGGGGCAGGATAACAGGGTTCCCTTGATTGTGGGGCAGGATAACGGGGTTCCCTTGTTGTTAGAGCGGGGTAACACGGTTCTCTTGCTCATGGGGAAGAATAACAGCGCTCCTGTGGTCAGAGGAAGGATCAAGGTGGAACACGAGGGCAAAGGATGGGGCTGGAGGCACGCGGTCACCTCCCCGTGGGTGGGCAATGGGAGGTGGGTCCAGGAAGGAGCCCCTCACCTGAATGATCGGGGTAAAAGCCGCCTCCACGAAGGCCTCTTCTCCCCACCCATTCCCCGCCACGGGGCTCTAAATAATTGATACGCTGATAAATAATAGATCTTGTATTTGCTCCTTCGCTTTTCTCTGCCGGGGCGTGTGCTGCATTAGGGGTACAGCGATGGGAGCGAGTGTGTGCGTGTGTCGGACGGGGTAGGGAGCTCTGCAGAGGGGAGAGCATTCCGGGGAGATAAAGGGCTGGTTTGATGTGTGTTCATGTGGCGGGGCTGTTTTGCCTTGCATGCCTTTCTCTTTTGCTTTATTTTTTTCCTGGAGTGAAGCCTGGCGCCAGCAGTCTGGAACCAGCCTGACAAGCTTTTGAGTTATGGAAAGGGGGAGGAGGGGGGAGGAGGGAGAAAGAGGGAGCGAGAGAGGCAGGGAGGAGGAGGGTGAAGGGAGAGGGAGGCAGCTGGGATGTGGATTATTAGGGGAGAACAAGAATACACACAAGAGGCTGGCGGGGTGAGGGCTGGGGGTACTGGGGCTAATGGGGAGGGGACGGAGCTGGCTGCGAGCAGACGTTTCAAAGGAGAATTTTTTTGCACGGGGGGAGAGGGGGAATTGAGTCATTTTGGGCATGAAACGCAAACCTCGCCGCGTCAAGGAACAAGGAAGTTTTTTAAAGCTCCAATTAAAGGGCTTGGAGAGGTCCGGGGCTTTTAAACAGCCTTGGGAAGGGGGAGGGGAGGAGGGGGGTCCTGGCTGGCGTTCAGGCTGCCGTCCCATCAGGACATTCCTTTCTGCTGAACGCTGCTGCTCCCGGCCCTCTCCTCCTCCTTTTCCAAGCTGCCGTCGAATCCTTTCCAACTCCCGCGTCCGAACCCGAAGAACTTTGCTCCGTTTCATCTCTCGCCGCCCGCCTCCCCCTTCGCTCCCCCTCCCCGAAAGCCCCGGGCTGTGCTCGGCGCTTTGATCACGAGCTGCTCGCACAGAAAGCCCCCGGCCCCAGTGATTCGTGGGGTCCTGGGCACGCAGCTCCGGAACCGGCAGCACCTCCGGGTGCGCTCTGCCAAAATCCTCCCCCCCGGGAGGGTGGACACCCCCTCCTGCCGTCACCTCGCTGATGGGAAAAGGCAGCTGCTTCAGTTGTTGAGGTGGTGCTTGGTGCGAGGAGCTGGGGGAGGAGGGTTCACTGCACTGCGGTGGGGTTTTGGCCCCAAATTGGAGAGGGTGGAAGCAGCCGGTTGGGGCAGCAAGGGGGTGGCCTGGGCAGAGCGTTTGGAAGGTTCCCATTGGGGACCCCAAGCAGGGGATGCGTGAGCTCCATTGGGAGCCCGTTGTGGCTGTGGAAGGGTCCCAGTGGTGCTCATGCATCACCATATCTTGGTTTCTCATTGGGTGCCCATGCATCCCCCTTTTTGGGGTTCCCCATTGGGTGCCCACAAAGGCTGCTCAGGAGCTGCTCCAAGGCTTTTCACAGCTCTTGACATCTCATGCACAGAGCACATGTAGTGTTTGGTGCAGTTCCATGGCACATTTCCCTCCCAGGTACCCTCTTATCATTGCCATGCCAGCCCATCGCTGTGTTTCCCAGCCCTGGCACACTGAGAAGCTGCTTGCCCATGGGAGGAAATTCAGAGTGCTGGCAAGGAGATGGGGATTTGGAGCTGCCTTCACATGGGCTTTATTTTGTTTGGTTTCAGCACAGCCTATTTAGCTCCGATGACTGGGGAATGTTTGGGAGAAAGGAGTTCTTTGTTACAGATTGAAGAGCCTTAGGTCCTTGAGTCAGCTTGTGCGAAGAGACAGTACGTGGGCTCTGAGAAGTTGAGATATCCGAGGGATAGGCAGATTTTACTCTGTACCTCTAAAGGGAAGAGAGTTAGGGTTCATGCACCCAGCTCCCAAACAACATCTAAGCACTGTGAAGCACCACTGCCATCTGCCAAGGCTTTGTCTTCGCAGAGGAGATGTAAGGGGGAACACCCAATTTTCTGAAGCCTCCATTACAGGTTGCCTACGAGCGGCAGCTCTTAGGAAAAACACTTCTTTCTCTGGGTTTCCAGGAAGCAAAATGTTGCCCTCCGCTGTTTGCAGCGTATCTGGAACAGAGAACTCACTGCCTCGGAGCCCAACTGGTGCCTTACTCTGGTGCCACATCCCCAGCAATGCCCAGGCTGGCCCAGGACAGCCTCTGCCCTAGAGGTGCATTTCAGACCCATGGGAGGCCCTGTGACCTCTTGGTTGCCTCCTGCTCGTGGGCACACACCTGGCACCTCAGCACAGGCACTTTGCAGGACTGGGCATAAGTTTGGATTTAGTTTGGACAGATTTGGGTCTGCTGAATATCAATCTCTTTGCACTGCGTGTTTCATAGGCAATCCCAAGCAGCAAAGTTGTGCATCCTTAGACCAAAGACCTTGATTTCTCCCTTTGCTTTCATTTCTCCTTTGCAACTCTCTGACCTCTTTCAGGGAACTACTGAGACACACTGGCAGACTCATCCTCTGGTTCCACCTTACTGGAGATGCAATCCAGAATGCAGGTTAGCTTCCATAGACCTCCAACATCTAACTGGTGGAGTCTTCAACTAAACAGAGGGAATGGTTGCTCTTCTTTGTAGTTGTGGAAATGGAGCCATGGGTGAAAACAGTCAGATGTTAGGGCAGGGATCTCTGCTGTGTGACATGGTTTCATCCAGAAACCTTTGCTGCGTTAGCTCTATTGGCACTCTTCATCTCTGGTTCTTGAGATGCTGCCAAGAGGGAGGTGACCCTCATCCCTTTCCTGCCCAGAAGGTAGCAGGATACAGCCCTGTGCCCAAGCACCTCCCTGCTCACACAGGAGCGTGACCCACCAGAGGTGGCAGGTGGAAATCAAACGTAATATGGGACTGTTGGAGCACAGAAGAGTGAGATGAGTCGTGGTGGGGAGACCAGCCTCACCTTTCATATTCTAATGCCTTGCCTTTGCCTGATTTGTGAGCTCTGGGGAGTCCTGCTGGGAATTCACTCAAACGGAGGCACACGCTGCCGTCCCTCGGTAAATTACACAGAGATATAATGAAGGAGGAGAAATCAGTTACTCTGTGACTGCAGCTCCCCAGGGGACCTTAATTCAAATATTTGTGGAGCTGAGCAAGTGGGGCGTTGGGGAGCCGTGGAGTTGGAGTGTCTCTCCACAGGCTTCTGCAGGTGGTTGGTGATGGCAGGGCTGTGCACTGTGCAGTGGGATCCTTCCCCCAAGGGCTTTGAGCTCTTGGTGGTGTTGGCCAAGAGGAAGGCGATGAGGAAATAGGGAGCGTTGGTGCTGCATCTTCCTTGAACACAGGGGTGCAGATGGTGGTGGTGGCTGGAATGTTTGGAATGACTGTGGGGTGACGGGGGATCTGCCCATGGCTCTGCACTGCCCCAAGGGCTGTGGCCCAGCTGGGGATAGCTCAGTCCTCGCCATGTTTCCTCCAGCCAGACGGGAGCAGGGCACATGTGGGTCTTTTCCACCACCCACCCACATGGCCATTACGTTCAGTAGGGATCATAAAAAGGGTTCCATGCCACGTGGCAGCAGGTGAACCCCGTATCGTTCAACTCAGGCATGAGAAAATCGATTTACCTCCAGCTCCGCTGCCAACCTGTGCCTTCTGTGCGCCCACAAACCAGGTTCACAGGGCTTGCCTGAAACAACAAGTCCCGCTTCACCCTGACAACCCAGGCTGTGACTCAGTGTGGTCCCACACCATCGACCCAGGTGCTCAGAGACACCTGTACAGCCAGGATAATGCACACAAGTGTGAGCACACGCTCCTCGCACGCCTGCTCGCACGTGCATCAGCTCTGCTGGCAGCACCGTGCCGCTCCGCTCCCATGCCGACATCCCGCACCGAGTGCACGGCACCACATTTGCACACACACATGCTCGCTCCGAGCAGCACGGCTGAGCTTCGTCTCGGGATGCCGTGTACAACGGGGGCAATCTCACTCACACCCGAGTGCAAGCCCCCACGTCCTCCCCTTGCACACCCAGCACCTCGGGTCGGCACGCACACGCGGTACGGATCTGCGGCACGCCAACTGTTGGGAAAGGGGAAAAAAAAAACCCCACACAGATTCAGCCGAGAGAGAGAGGGGGAAAGAAAGAGAGAGAGAATGACAGACTGCAATCCCCCTTGAGTGCCTATCCTCATGAATATTAATAAGATGGTAATTAAAATGCAGGGACACAGCAGGACGGATGCAGGCGCTGCCTTCGGAGCGCTGGGAACGGGGGGAGCGCGTCTTTCCAGGCAGGTTTTGATTCCGTTCTCTGATGAAAAGAAGAAAACGGAGCCTTCAACTTTAATCAGTTTAGAGTTTTTTTGACACGACATATCTTTAATTGCTGATATTTCTGCTCTCCTCAAACCCAGCTCTACCGTCTCCAGTCTAACCGGAGATAACGAACCACGGTGAAGCGCCGTGGATTCGTGCCTTGTTTACGCCTCGACTTGTTTGCTACTTTGCTGGGGTTTCACTTCTTTGCCTCGGGTTGGAGGGCACGGCCCTGGCACACCCAGCAAGAGCGGGGGGCTGGAAATGGAACCCAGCATCTCTTTGTGTAGCCCCCTCCCCATAGACTTCCCCTATTGAAGCCATAGGGAAACCAACCTCTTCTGGGTGCTCATCTCTTCTTGGCCATGGCTTCCTTTGGAGGATGCTTGGGGCAGGCTCACAGGTCTCTGAACGAGGGGAACTGAAGTGTCGCTTGCTTCTGGTGAAGATCATCCACTGGGTCTGATCTGTGGATGGAAGAACGTCCAATGGGTCTCGTCCATGGATGGAGAACAGTGTTGATGGGAAAATGAAGGAAGAGTGTTGTTGGTGCCCAAAGAGAATGTCTTGGGTGTGGAAGTAGGACCAGGTCAGCACAGAGATTCGGATGATGTAGGAGGGGCTTTCTGGCGAAGCGAAGAAAATAAGGACCCACAAAATACCCCATACCAGTATGACTGTTTAGTTTAAGTCAAGCCATGATGTTTGGTTTGGACAGAAAGGTTTTTTGTTTCACTGTGTTTGGAGGTGGCTTATTTTCTTTAGATCTCCTCTTTTACGTTGAGGTAATCTTTGAGCTGAAAGCAATAGGTTTGCTGGAATGAAAAAAATAATAATAAAAAAAATCTTTTAGAAAATGCCCAAATACAATTTGTCATGCAAGTGATGGAAGATGGTTTGCATTTTCAAACCTGCCCAGCATACACACCATGCAATATCCCTGCTGGAAAAGCAGAGCTGCAGCACCCTGGAGCTCTCGAGGTTTTGCTGTGCAGCAGGGCAATGCTGGCCTATAACGAGGCCTTTTCAGGTTGGACATTAGGAAAAGCTGCTTCTCCAAAAGAGCAGTGCTGCGCTGGCACAGCTGCCCAGGAGTGGCGGGTCACTGTCCCAGAGGTGTTCCAGAGATGTGGCACTGAGGGCTGTGACAGTGGGAGTGGTGGGGAAGGATGGAGTCGGACCTGGGGATCTGAGAGGGCTTTTCCATCCTTCATGATTCTGTGACTCTTCTCTATCACAGACCTTCCCAGAGAGGTGTGGGATCCCCTTCTCTGTACCCAGCACACACTGTGGGATGCCTGCTCAGCCCAGCTGACCATGAAGCACCTTTGCCATGAAGCTCCAGCCCATTTCCTATACCCCATGGGCAGCAGGGGGGTCTCCCTGTCATCCTGCCCTACAGCAAAGCTGCTCCATACTGATATGAGCTGAAGCCAAGACTGATGGTGAACCGTCACAAAGCCAGTGTGTCAGCATGCATTCTTGCCCATCAGGGTGTTTGCTTTTCCATCCTTTTTAATGCATTTCGGCGTGGCAGGATTGATGAGGGGGTTATTTGCGTGTCCCTTCTTGCCTTTCAATAGGGTGGGTGTTGCAGCATGGGGTTGGACCCCTCTTCTCTAGCAGGAGTGGCTCTTGCATTGGCTTCCCTGGGCCATGTCAGAGCTGGGAAACATGAGGATTTCTGGAGGACGTGGAGGGGAAGGGCAGGTGGGGGACAATGAAATGGGAGCTCAGTGAAGGGGACAGCAGAGGGAGGTGCCAGCAGCTTGGGACCAGCCAGAGCTGGGGGGAAACAAAACAAAGCTGCTTTGGGTGTCATTTTCAGTGAGGGAAAAAGTCATTTTTATTATTTTTTCTTTTCTTTTTTTTTACTGCTTCCTTCTCCTCCTTCGTTCTCTCCTCTCTCCTTTCTGCAGTGCTAAAACAACACTTTGAGAACTGAGAAGGGCATGGTCTGAGCTTCTCCTCAACCCCACACCTCCCAGCACTGCCGTTAAATCTGTGCTGAAAAAAGGATCAGCAAATATCAGGTTTGCCACGCGGATGCACTGACAGGGTTGGGGCACTTGTGGCAGGGACAGCCCAGAGTGACAGCCCCGGAAGCACCCAGCAAGGGCAGGAGTGCAAAACCCCACGGTAAATGGAAGGAGAAGGCGTTGCTTTGCTGCTGAGAGAGAATTTAGGTGGCAGGGACGAAACAGAGAAGCGCTGTGCAGGGAGCGGTGCTGGGGCTGGAGGGCCGTGGGAGGGAGGTAACAGGATGGCCCCGGGTACCGCTTCCTCGTGGCACCCCTCCAGCCGTCCCCGTCACCCCCTAGTCACATCCTGCTTGCTCTGGCTCCTGCCTCATCCTGCTGCCTGCAGTTTCTCAACCCCTTTCCCTCCTGCCAGCACTTTCTGGCTGCTGGGGTTGCTGCGGGGCAGCGGGGCTGGAGGCAGCTCTTGGAGCACCGGGAGATTTAGGATCGACGTGCTCCATCCTCTCCTGTTTGACAGCAGAACTGCCATTTAAGGGAGGGTTTGGAGGAGACATCTTCCTCTTTCCAAATCCTTCTTACCGGTGTAGCCCCCATCCCGCAGACCCTGCAGCACGGAGCATCCCGGCATCTATGGGATCCTCACCCTTCCCTGGTCTTCCCTGGGCCCTCGCTTTGTCCCCAGTGCCCTTTCCTCCTCTGCAGCCCCATCTCCAGGGGGGCCATGTGCTGTGGGAAGGATCACATCCTGCTGCGGGACGCTCTGTGCCCTGGCAGGGCGCAGCTGGAGCTGGCACTGCTCTGCGCTGGGCTGAGCTGTCCTGGCTTCCAAGTGCTTCTGCAACAGCAGGAGACCTCAAGGGGAGTTCTTAGTGGAGCAGGGAGATGCTGCAGCACAGCAGCAAGCTGGAGCTATGGGGAGGGAGGGACTCTGCCACAGACTTTGTGGGCTAACCTTGGTCAAGACAGCTTTCTCCCCGCATGTTTCTTGTTTTTTTTTTTTACCCAAACACAACGCTGCCTTTGCTAGCTGTGCTGGTGCAGAGGCTGGTTCCCAGCACCCCGGAGGAGGGCTGCTGGCTGCTGCCACAGCACTGCACTGCAGCAGCTCTGAGCTCAGCGCTCCGTGCTCGGGGTCTCAGCCCCATTGCGGAGTTGCTGCCGCAGAGCTGGGACCGCTGGGACCCCCATCCACATCCTGCATCCCCTCTTTGCTCCATTGCCCAGCGCTGAGGCCTGGGCTGAGCGGCGGGCGGCGTCGCTTTGGGGTTTTGGCACACGGGGAACGCAGGTGGGTGGGGGAGGCACTTCCACTATCCCTGCCGTTAGGGAGCACAGAGCCCGGGGTGCTGCGTTGTGCCCCCAACAGAAGGCAGGGAACAGACGGAGGAGATGGTTGCGCCCTCCTGGGGCTCAGGGATGGGGCTGCTGGGCTCTGGTGTGGTGCATCCCTCCTTCCCCATCCCTCTTCCCCACGCTCAGGGCAACGTGGCCACGCACGGAGCCAACCAGGAGCGATGCGAGGAGGGTCGCAGCTCGGCGGGGCGGCTCTGGGCTCCCCGCTCTTCCCTCCAGACCACGCAACGGTTAAATTCCTTTCCAGCTGAGCTGGCAAGCAGAGCCCGAGCATATTAGTCAGATCCCTGTAGGGGGTGGGGAGGAGGAAGGAGCGAGCAGCGAGGAGGGGCCGCAGCCCAGCGCCGGGCTGAGCTATTCTCCGGGGCGAGTGCGGGGAGGCAGCGCAGCAGGAGTTGCTGCTTCCCAGAAACTTGATTATTTTTAACCCAGGAAGAAAAAAAAAAAAAAAAAAAAAAAAAAAAAAAAAAAAAAAAAAAAAGGAAGGAAGGAAAGCGGGCAGATTTAAAAAAAAAAAAAAAAAAAAGAGTGGGGGTAAATCTGAAGAAACTGGAAAACATGAGGTTGGCGTCAGCACACAGCTTTGCAGAGGGGAGAGAAGGGGCAGAGAGGTTCAGGCTGCCCTGGGATGGGGAACGGAGCCCCAGTGGAGCTGCCCTGTGGAGTGGAGGAGAAAGCAAGGTCTTCTTTCTCACACTGCTTAACCACGTGTAGATGGGAGCCTGGGCAAAGTGCAGAGACATGTCGGTGTTGTTCCCAGCATGACATGGTTGTGTTGGGTCTGAGATGCAGAGCCCTGCAGCGGTTGTTCAAAGCCCCACAGCTGGAAGAGCGCTGGGGATCTGCTGCCCCACGCCCAGAGCTGCACTGCGGGCACAGGCACAGCAGTGTGGATGGGACACGGTGCATGAAGTCCTCTGTGAAGGGCAAACCCTTTCTGACCCAAAACAAAGTATTTGTATGACTGCAGCACCTGCACCTGGTTGGAAACTCAATGTCTTCCATGGCTGTAACACCAGCCCAAAGCATTACAAGCCATGGGCCCTTCCAGGAAATATCTGCAGTCCCTCACTGTGCTGCCCAGGGTGGTACTGGGGCTCCTGAGCTGCTGTGCTCAGCCTCAAACTGAGCTCCATGGGGAACATGACGTGAGGAAATGTCCTATATCCACAGACACCATGTGGAAGCAGGGCCACGACCCTCCCTGAGGAGGTTCTTCCATGTTGGACCTCTGTGGGACTTGGGCTGTCATCAGCTCTGCTCTGCTGTGCCCAGATCCTGGATAGTGATGTCCACATGATGGCATCAGAACCATTATCGCACTGGAGAAGAAGCCCTTAATTTTGCAGACACAGCCAAGCCAGGTCAGAAATTGGATCCTGTTCCCCAAAGGCAAAGAAGTGACAATGGCAATCAGTTCAGCTGAACAGGCAGCAAGCCCCCCTCAAACTGCAGAGAAAACAAAACTCTTGACAAAGGCACTGCTGCTCCATGGCTCCATGTGGGGCTGCTGAGGGCCTTTGTGCTGGTTTGGTCCATGGAGCAATGTCACCCCATCATGTCCCAGCAACAGCCTCCCTGCCACCAACAGGCTCAGCAGTGCATGCCCCATCCCTGGAGCTGCTCAAGGCCAGGCTGGATGTGGCTCTGGGCGACGTGATCTGACGGTTGGGGCTGGAACTGGATGATCTTTGAGGTCCCTTCCAACCAAACCATTGTGTGACCCGATCAAAACATGTGGCTCACTGGGTGCAAAAGTGCCAAGCCTTCCTCCTCACCTCTTCCTCTCCCAAACGCCAAGAGCCTTCAGTGGAGAGCTCTCCCATGCTGGCACAAGCAAGGGCCATGGGGATGGGCCAGGAACTGCTTCCACCCCACGGCTGCAGTGGGATGGAGCTCGCAGCATCACCCTCCCCACTGCATGCCCACAGGGCTGGGGTTTGCTGGGGGGCAAGGGTGGCAGAAGGCCCTCCGAAGAGCCCCTCTTGCTGCAGGCAGCCTAGTGCACTGCTCGCAGGGTATTTTTTTCTTCCTCGCTCTTTGTTAAGCTCCCTTTCAGCTGAAATGGCAATGCCTGGGTGTTCTGAGCTGACAATAATTGCTGCAGTCTAGACACTGTCTGGTATGAGGCACGGGGAATCAAAGAGGCCCCTTCTCTCGCAGCGACTTTCACACATGCTCCCTTGCTTGGGCTCCTTCCTTCTCCCTCTCCCATGTTCCCTTGGTCTTTGCCTTTTTTTTGTTAATTTTTTTTATTGCTCCCCTCTATCTGCATCGCGCAGAGCTGGAGGAGAAGCGTCAGCATCTTCCCCCACGCGTGCTCCCTCTCCGCCGTCTGTTCCATGCTCCCCCTCTCCCTCTCTCTCTCCCTTTCTCATCTGTCTCCTCTTTCTCTCCTTCCTCCACTCTTACCTTTATGCTATTCCCTTCCTCCCAAAGTTAGCAGAGAAGCGAGAGGGTGGGGGCTGGCTCTGCAGGAGTTTAACTCCTTCCTTACCCTCTCGAAGCGCTCCTCTTCCTGCTGAGCCCCTCCTGGCTGTGGGAGCCCCTACCCACCCCATCCCTGGATCCACAGGAGGTGCCTGGTTGTGCTGGAGTCACATGCAGCCTCATGTCCCGATACCATGGGCATGGAATCATCCGTTCCTGCACCATTGCTTGGCCAACAGCACGGCCATTGGGAAGAGGTGTCCACTGGGGACCCATAAGAAGGGGCGACTACTGGGGGTGCATGGGATGGCGTGTCCATTGGGGACCCATGGGAAGGGACGTCCATTGGAGGACCATGGTAAGGAGCATCCATTGAGGGCCCATAGGAAGGGGTGTCCACTGGGGGCCCGTGGGAAGTCCCCCACGTCTCAACATTGCAGTGGTGCAGAGCTGGGGAGGTGCTGCAGCTCCTCCATCACCTCCTTGCCCAACAAGAAGGCAGCCAACGTGGGAGATGTGTCAGAGCACCTCACTGCCACAACTGCACTGATGGGCACACACAGCACTCGGGAGCAGCAGCTGTTCCCCAACAAATATTTGCTGGGGTGCAGGTGTGTCCCAGCTGCAGGAAACCCATCATTGCCTCTTTGGGTACTTGGGTTCTCCTTCCACCCACAGCAAAGCAATGGGAGATCTGCAGGCTGCACCAGACCTCTTTTGGTGCTGCCTCAGTCTGTGTGTTGCTGGTGTTTCAGTGGGATGCCGTGTTGCAGTTCCAATCATGCCCAGGACTTATTGTGCTATCATGCTATTAACAGATCATTTCTAGCTCACTTCTGGACTTCTCTTAATCTCTGCTCCCTGCACAAATAGTGGCTTTTTCTGCAAAGCCCAACTAAATAGCGCCGAATTCTCATATGTGTGTTTTGATTGCTGTCAAATGCTTTCACCAGAGGGGAAACTGAGGCAAGGCACAGGGCAGCCATCTGCCAGCCAGCAGGGCCCCCCCATGGGACGTGGAGCTGCTGTGCAGCCCCGCTTGCATTGCCCAGCATCTCAGCGGCGGCGGTGCTGCTCGCCTACCACGGGAAAGTCACATTAGGAAAGTATGCAATGTATTTTTAACTGTCTATAATGCAATTTAGCAGCTGGAAACGAGGACAGAAGCCAACCCCGTGCGACCAGCCAGATCTCTGCCGTCCATAAGCAAGAACTCGGTGGACGCGGTGTTATTCTGTCAGGCTGGGGACCTTGTTTGGGAAAAGGGCAGGGAAGGGCCGTGTCCTCAAAGTCGGGCTCTGTCTCTAGCCAAGGGGTGATGGAGCTTGGGGACCTCACTGGGGCAAAGAAATGCTGGTGGTGTGACAGAGCAGGAGAGGAGACAGCCCCAGGGGAGGGAAACAACTGCTGGAGGTCAGCGGCAGAGCCAGGAATAAAATCCAGGTGTGCTGAGCTGGCGCTGGGTTTGTATTCCCGCACGTGGGTGCGTGCAGCACTGCTGTCCCCAGGTGCAGAGAGAGCTTCTCAAAGCCACCGGTGCCCTCCGGAGCTCCACTGCAGGCTGTGGGGCAGCAAATCTGCAGGATCTGGGGGGAGAGATTTGGGGTCTGTGTTCCCTGGAGCATCCCATACAGCACTGCTGGGTCCGGGCCCCGCTGGAAGGATGCTGATAAGGCAGCGAGGATAAAAACACTGCCTTTATTTTGAAGCTTATCTCCAAATCCTAATGAAAACAGATGAAGAGGGAAGGCAGGGACATCGGAGGTGCAATGGGGCTGGGGCTGGGCGGTGCTGTGCAGCAGAATGCGGCTGGGTTGGGAGTCCAGTTGGCTCCAGCATGAGATACAGCACGGGGGGAGTGTGAGATAACAGTAAAGCTTTGGGGCAAACCCAGCGAGCTGGGGCACAGCTCTTGGGTCCCACACATGAGGGGAGAAAAGCTGGAGTGGCTGCAATCCCTCTTCCTGCCCCACCAACACCCTGAAACTGAGAATCCACTCTTAATAAGGGACTTGATGAGGAAGAAAAACCTTGAAACCAAGGAAACAAGGGAAGCAAAAGGGGAAAAAATCCTTTGCAAGGGGTGATGAAGTGGGAACGTTTAGCAGGTTGAAGGGGAGCCTGCTCCAGCAGAGGTCCCATCCCGGAGTGGCATCAGCTGCAGCCTGGGGCAATGCTGTAGGAGAGCGCTGGGGGCAGGAGGTGGGATGGAGGGGGGGGAGCAGAGGGCTGTGGAGAAGCTGTCCGAAGGTTCCACGGAAGGAAATCCTTCCTTGCCAGATCTGGGACACCCCTCACATAGGGGCAGCGACACACGCCCTCCGTCGCCGCCGTTTTAACGCAGGGCGCAGCAAACCATGGGGAGGGGGCACAACCCCATCTGTCCCCATTCAGAGCAGCGCTGTGGGGCGCACACCCCCATCCCTCTCCTGTCCCCATAGCTCAGTGCCCGGCCCCACTCGGTGCTGCGGGACCGTAACGTGATATTTCCCCGCGCGTCCCCCGGAGGGTTTTTTCCATTACACAGAACGGAGCTGCCTGCGCGCCCGGCTCCCCCGCCTGCAACCTCTGGCACCGCTTTTCCAGCGGCACATTGTGCAAATGTAACCTTTCAGCAAAGCCACTCCTACGGCAGGAAGCCGTGGGGCCTCGGCTGCTGCCAGGAACGCAGCCGGCTCGGAGCTGGAAGGCAGCCCGTTAATCAGAGCCGGCTGACAGCAAAGCACACATCCTGGGCAACAGATTTCTGCTCCCGCTCCCTCGCGCTCAGCCTCGCCTCGCCGTGCCTGCATCGCTCCTGCTCGGCTGCTTTCTGCCAGCCCTTCTGCCTCCCCCTCCTCTTCCTCCTCCTGGGGTGTCCAGCAGGGTTTGCTCCTTGCTGTGCGTGGGGGCAGTTACCAGCCTGGGGGTCCTGCTGTGCATGGGGGCCAAAGGGGTGTTTGGTGGGGCTGCCCCCTGTGGTCACAGCACCCACAGGACCCCCTGCAGACAGCACTTACAACCACACCTCAGCACCGTACCCATCACCATATGGCAGCGCTGTGCTCATGGTTCTGGCCTGCCTGATGGAAACCCATTGTGCCTATGGGGTGTGGGGCCATGGGGTGTGGGGCTGTTCCAGAACCCCCAGCCCTCCCCAGGCCCAGGGGACACCCAGCCCTGTGCTGCAGGCAACTTTGGGGAAGTGTCTTGCCCGCCTCCAGTTCACCATCACAACCAAACGGGAGCTTTTCTATGAGCTCAGATAACATGGAAGGATTCTACTTGGCTCATACCCGAGCTTCCTCCATTTACATCTGCACTCGTGCCCAGGTGAAGCCTAGCAAAGAGCAAGAGGTGAATAAACCCCACCATCACTGTCCCCATGCAATGGGCTTTGTATCTTTTGCATCTTGTTTCTTCCGGGACTTGAAACACGAAAGTGCTGCATTGTAGTTTGTCTATTTTTGTGTTGTTTCCAGCCCAGCTGGAAGCAGGAGGTATTAGAAAATGGCGAGGTGGGGGTAAAAAAAAAAAAAGAGAAGAAAAAGGAAAAAAGAATCGATCTGGCAAGAGTCCATCTTCCTGCCAAATCCACCGAACCCGGGATGCTCGCGCCTTGCTCATCCCAACCCATCCCCTCGTGCCCAAATGGCTTTGGGGATGCTGCACAAAGCATGGCCCCACTGCTGGCGTCGAAGCCATCCCTGCATTTATTTCACCTTTTCCTCTGGTTGCGAATTGTCCGGGAGCAGATGGCGATTTTCTCAAGTGTATCCGTTATTCGAAGTCGCTCACCGAGACAGGGATGGCTCACACAAACCCGGCCCCCCTGCAAAGCCATCATTTGGTCTTTCCATCTGCCCAGCCACTGCGTTTGGTGTGGGTTACAGCCAGCTCCATGGGGCAGAGCGGGACGGCACGGCCCTACACGGTCATCCCCTTAACTATGGGACGTGGAGCCGTGACGGCCAGGGCAGCTTGGGGTGGAAAGCAATCCCTGGAGCTGGGGGGACTCTCTCCTTATGAGTCCCTGAATGGGCTCCCAGGCCCATCTGCTGCCACATTCTGGCTGCATTTTTCCATTTTCCCTTCCCAGTCCTCTCCTTCTCCCCTCTGCAAAAGCAGCCATGGGGCCGGGAGCTGCCTTGCAGGGATGGGGCAGTGCGCTGTAACCGGAGCCCATTGGGACCCCCTGCGCAGCCCCACGCCAGGAATGTTGCTCCAAGGGGGGCTGCCAAGGGCTGACAAAGGGGGAACCGCTTTGAAATGCAGCTTGCTGTCCCTCCCCTGTGGCTTAAACAAATACCCCCCGGCTCAGGGGGTGCCTCCTCGCATCCCACAGCCTTTTGTTGCCAAGCTTTTGTCTGGGGTGTGGAGAAAGGGCTGGGACCCCCCCAGCCTCCCCCAGGACACCCATGTGGATGGGGTCTGGGATGCTGAGCGTGGGGCTGAGAGTGGCTCAGTGTCCCATCATAGGGCCTGGGGATGCTCTCTGAGTCCCTTTGCCTGCTGTCCCTCTTGTCCCATCCCCATGGTGTCTCACCATAGGCGAAGTCTTTGAGTCTCCACATGGGAACTACCATCAGCCTGTGCCATTCCTGTGTGCCAATCTGCATCCAGCATCCAGCTCCCATATGGGGGGGGCCCAAACCCAAAGCTTGAGGGTGTTGCAGAGCCCACTGCCCCTAGGATTCCATTAAGGGACTTGTAATTTTGCATCCCCAAAGGCACTTCATGGAGTTTCCTTCCGGGGAAAATAGTTGGGGGAAAATCCTTTGAGGGGGGGTTGAACAACCCCAAAATGCCCAAGGAAATGCCCAAGGACATGGCAGCGCTGGTCTGCAGCCATTGTGCCATGCAAAAGAACCTCCTGAATTAACCACAGGAAAGGTAAAACTCAAAATGAACCCCTTGCAAACCAGACCCAGACTTCTCCACCCTCCCCCCAAGGCACAAAGACAACAGAAGCCCCCAACTGCTGCTCACATCCCTCCACGCCGCCCCAAAGGTGGGAGATGCCCTGAGACACCCCCAACCAGTGCCAACGGGGCCACCATGGGAAGGCTGGGTTGGGGTCGGGCAGAGCCCCTTTATCCCTTTGCTTTTGGGGGTGGGTGCACAGGGGGATCCCCGGGGAGGGGGGCACTCAGCCCTCCTCTGTCCACGGGACGGCGGTGGGTGAGCGCAGTGCTGGGCTGTGTCCCCGGGGAGCAGCGGCCCCGCAGCCCCGCGCCGCGCTCGTCACCCAGACAAGAGATCAATAACTAATTTCACTGCAGCAGCAGCGCGGGTTTTTTTCCAATAATTGTGAGCCGGCGGTTGGGAATGAGGCTCTCAGCACCGCTCCACACTAACCTGCGCCCGATCAATGGCCACACCGCTGGGGCAGCAGGAAAACTCATTTTTCTCTTTTTCTTTCCTCTCAGCCTCCTCCTCCTTTACACCGCTCCCTCCTTGGGCACTGCAGCTCCGGATCCGGCCCCTCACCTGGGGGGCTGTGCTGAGTGTCCCCCACGTGCAGTGGCCGTGTGCTGCTCGTCCCATTTCCTGCAGGACAGACCCTGTGCCAAGCGTAGGGCGCAGCATCTGTCCTCATCCAGGAGCACTGTGGAGCTGTGGTTACGGAGCTGTGCCTTTCGGTGGCCAGCTGGTGCCTTTGTGTTGCCCATACATGTTCAGTGATGCAGTAGGAGATCTTTGGGATGCTGTGGGGTTGGTCTGATGCCGGCTATGAGTCTCGGCCGGGTTCCTCCCTTCTTATCCGTCTCTTCAGCATCTGAGACCCTGCTGTGCCTCAGTTTCCCCACACATATCTGTACCAGCTGGGTGCAGCTCCATGAGCTGCCTGCAGTCCCTGTGCTCTGGATCCCATCACACAGGACGCAGTGAAGAGCTCAGTGCTGGGCCCTGATGCCAGTCTCTGGAGTCCCAACATCCACACACCCAGAAGGCATTGAGGAACAGTGCAGTGTGCAGCATCCCCTGCTTGTGTGCTTTGCCCCAGCTTGGGGACGGTGAGAATGGGTGCGCAGAGCCCACCCTGAGCCCCATCCCTGTGCTGGTGGGGTATTTCCGTGTCCTTTTGGTGAACTAGCACATGACTCTCATGGTTAACATTTGCCTTAACCCTCTTTCCACACATTGGTTTGTATTTGCATTACGCCCAGGCCACGGTGCTCAGGAACACAGGGTGCTTGCAGGGCTCCCCCCATGAGCAGCAGTGTCCCCCAGCCATGGCTAAGGTCACTCTTCATGGGTTTCCCAGCAGCACTGGGGCCTCCATCCTTTCTCTCCCATTTAATCCCATGAATTAAACACCGCCTTCACCGCGGAGCGCCGAGCGGTGCCGGCGTAATGTCCAAGTTTTATGACTTGCCTTGAAGGCACCTATTGATTGGGGTCCTCTCTGGATGATGGAGCTTTTAGTGCATCCTGGGCTGTCTGAGCAGGGCTGGATCCTCCGCCCATGGGGCTCAGCAGCGCCGTGCCATCACGTCTCGGTGCCCCATCTCCGTGGATCCCAGGGGGAGGCAGCAGGCAGGGACCTCGGTGCCCACACGGCGCCTTTAAGAAGCCCACAACCAGCTCCAGGAACACGAGCTCAAGGTCACAGTGGGAAACCTGCGGACTTGGCAGCGAGGAGAGGAGAGCGGGCGGAGGGAAGGAGGAGGGAGGAGGGAAGCAGCCGGGGATAAAACCCAAATTCTGGCGGGGGAGAGGAGATGGAGAGGAGCAGGGAGATGGGGTGCAAGGGGTTCCACCCAGGGGTGCCCAACGATGGCCCCTTGAGGCCCTGCCACGTCCCCTGCTGCAGTGCCCAGATGCCCTCTGGGAGGTTTGGGGTTACCGAAGGCGCTGGGAATGAGGCAGCTACTCCTGGTCTGGGTTTGGAGATGCCCGATTTTAATTTTCATCAGCAGAATTAATCTGCAGAGCTGTTTCCCCCCCCTCCTCCCCCCTCCCCTTCCTTTCCTCGCTGGTTTCGACGTAGAATTTGATCACTTCTCCCAGGAGCTCGGCACCATTAACATTCACTCCTGGCGCGCGCGAGCCGCGCTGCATCGCCAAGCGCATCGCAGGCTGCGGGCTGTGGGCTGTGGGCACCTCGACCCCCGTGAGCAGCCCCAGCCCTTTGGCCTGGCACCATCCTCACCCCCCACTGAACCAGGGAGGGGCTGCTTCATTTCTGTGCCCGGAAATGTAGGAAAATGAAGGGCGCAGAGTAGGAGCAGGGGGTGCTGCCCTTCCCCTGCTTCCAGACAGCCTTGGGCTCAGACCTGGAGGTGTCCGGAGGGTCCTGGCCTCAGGGTTTGCTCTGCAGCTGCTGGGACACCTGGGACCATCCAATACAATGGAAGCCAGAAAGTGCTCTGGGGGTAGGATCCAAATCTTGCACCATTTCACAATTTAAGGGATGTGAAGCGGTCACCCTGGGCTGCCTCAGAGTTGCATAAAGTTGTAGACTTTGTTTTTTGTTGTTTTGTTTGTTTTTCTTTGATAAAGATTAATAAAGAATTAGCTCCTTATTGTTGTTATTATTACTCCATCACTGTCGCTATCACTGTTACCATTACCATTACCACTGCTATTACTATTGCCATTGCTGCTATTGCTGCTATTGATGCTATTGCTATAACTATTGCTATTTCTACTGCTACTATTTCCATTCCCATTCCTGTTCCCATTCCTGTTCTCATTCCTGTTTCTCTTCCTATTCCCATTCCCATTCCTACTCCCATTCCTGTTCCTGTTCCATTTCCAATTCCTATTCCAAACTGCTGCCTTCGCATGACTTGCATTTTTCCTGGCACCAGCACAGCCCCACCTGGGATGATGCCCTCTGGCCCTGAGGTGCCCCCTGTGCTGCAGCAGCAGCAGGAACTGCATCATTCCCTCCATCAGTGTGGGGCTGCATTCTCCCCATGTACAGATGATAGCATTTTTTCCCCTTTCTGGCTATGGCCCCATGCATTGAGCCCAGCCATGCTGCTCCTCGAGGGCACAGAGACATTCACCAAAGCGAGAAGCCAAATGCTTTCTTCTTAGCCTCGCTTTAACAAATATTAATTAACAAGAGAGTAAACACTAATCCCAAAATGACACAAACTGCGTTGCTTGAAATGTTTGGGACCTGTGTGTGCCGGGATTTACAGCCACGTGGGTTAATGGGTGCTAAATCATTGCTCAGACTGCAAGGAGAAGCTGAGCCGGCGAGGGGCTCTGCGTGCTGCTCAGCCTGGCATCGGCTGCACAGGGTGCTGGGGCTGCACTGGGCTGTGCTGTGCCATGAGCTGCTCTGGCAGGAGGTGTGGATCCACTCAATGCTTGGAGAAATGGTGCCCCCACCCAGCAATGGCTTTAACCATAGAGCGCTGCAAGAGCGACCAGAGAGTCACCCTTGTCTACAGCCAACCTCCAACCCTTGTGGGTGCAGGGGAGGCTGGGGGCTGAAGGCTGGGACTCACAAGTCTTGAGAGGGGCCCAGGGAAGCAGGCAGGCGGGACAGATCCAGGCCGGGTTTTCTTCATTCTTTCTGCTCTGTCGTGCAGGCTGGGGAGCTGCTGCCTGTGCACATGCTGCTCCAGTCAGTCCTGCTCCAGGCTGAGCTGCACAGCCAGCGTGAGCCAGCACTGGGAACTGGGAAACTGCTTCATGTGCACACTGCATCCTCCCCGAGCACACACTGCATCCTCCCACCAACCGCTGAGTCCTCCCTTTGAGCACTGCATCCTCCCCAGCGTGTTCACTGTACATTGACTGTGGCAGGACCACGACAACGCATGGAGGACACTGGGTGCTCCATCCCCCCCTTGCTGGGAGGGCTCCCCTTCAACCCTTGTACTCAGCCCCATTTCGGGAGGGCTGGGAAGGGGAAGGTTGTGGGGGCTGCAGGGCTGGAAGTCGGCTCTGAGGGTCGGCGTGCCTCGCCGTGCCGTTCTGCAGCGCCTTGCTTCCTATCATGGAATTTTAATTTGGTTAGTTGAGTTCTTTAAACAGTGTGAACTTGCTAAGTGCTTTGCATATTTTATACTCATGAGTAACATTTATCAAACAGAAAGTACAATTAATCAAATAAGGAGCTTTTGTAACCCGGAGCGGTTTCCCTTCGCCCTCATCTCACCCTCCACATCCTCTTCTCTCCCTGCCACTGCCCCATCTGGAAACACACATATACTGATACACATACACAGGTATACATATTACAAGTATTTTATGTATGCACAGATATATTTATGTCTCGTATAGATGCATGTATCCATGTATCTGTGCTGTGTAAATACACGTGTGTGTAGGTATGGCGTGTGTGGCATGGAATACGTGTGTATGTATGTACAAATGTGTAAGTATGTACATATATGTGTGGTGCAAGTAAACTGTATCTGTGTATGTACATGCACACAGTATTATGTTCATAAAATTATATACACAGTCTATAGAGAGAACATTTATATACACACTGTTCTTGCTAATAACCAGTATCTTGTAGCTGTCACCTGCCATCTAGTAAAGTATATAGCATATAGTGTATAAATATAGCAAAGAGCATATCGTATATAGCACATAATATATAGCATATAGTGTACAACAGATAGTGTATAGCATGTAGTGTGTAACATTTAGCTGGTGCTGGGCACATTGGTGGCTCCCAGCAGCACAAGGAGAGCACTGACCTAATTTGTTGTGACGTCCCAAACCCACTGCAGTGCAGTGCTGGAGGTGTGGGGCGCAGGGCAGCGTGTGTGGGGTGTGGGATCCTCTGTGTCCCCCGGATCGTTGGCACCTGAATGGGGCACACAGCATGCTGGTCACTGGGAGCAACGCGTGCAGTGCTGGTCAACTCACCTCCAAGTGGTAGTGTGAAATTAATTAGAATTAATTAATCAGAAAAGGGTAATAGGGGTGATTAAGTACCTAGGGGAAAAAAAAAGTAATCCTGAATGTTGCAGGAACGGTGATTGCCTCGAATGGAGGGGAGTGAGAGGTGAGTGCTAAGGAGTAGATGGGGTGGGGATGGGGTCTGAGGGGACTCAGTGCATGGGGATCACACAGTGATTGGGGCTGGACAGAGGGGAAGGGAAGGGGAAAAATGGGAAAGGGAAGGAAAGGGAAAAGAAAAGGGAAAAAGAAGGGAAAATGAAAGGGAAGAGGGGAAGGGGAAAG